GTGCTAGTTTTCTTTGAGTTGACTCGAAAGTTTGGAGGAGCCCACATGACTGAACACAATCAATTTTTTTTCTCAACGTAAAAGTAAAATACATCAATGCAATAATAACTACCACCACTCAGACCCGTATCAAAAGATATTACGTCATTCCAGCACACATTAAGTATATTCCAATTTGATGGAAGAAGATATAAGAAGCAGAAAAGCCTCAAAAATGGATATGAGAGGCGAATCGATTTTGAGACAGATCAACCAAATGAGACATGCGTAATCGATATAATGATATAATTACTGAGGATATGATACTAAATACTATAAACCCATAGAAGACACTGATGGGGGAATAACAGATGAAGATTTACAGAATTCTAATCCTTTCTGGAATATAAGAGGGCAACATGAAACATAGTGTCTTTGAACTCATCACCTGTTTTTAACAGTATGCTAATAAGAAATTGTGCAAATTTCGGAAAGATAACGCTGCTATGATACGATCTCGCGTAGAGAACAGTTCGACATTAGGACTTGCTTCAGCTCCTCATCAACACCTGATAGTATAGAGACGATCTGGCGGACCTGCAATATTTATTATCAACAGCGGAAAAAATGCCTTATTGGAAAACATTTATCTAGAAATTACAACTTACCAGCTGATGACGTTTCTCGCTCGCTTCTTCCATTTCAATAATACGTTGCCGAACTCTTAATACTAAATCGACTATTTCGACATGATGCTTCGTAGCCAGCACTTTTGAACCTAAATGTTCATTCGTTCACCACTCACACTTCACTGTTTGTCACTTTGATGCGCCTATTTGCGCAAATAAAATATTCACCAAGATCTGCTGAGCACAATGCTTCCACGTACTGTGCTTTCAGCTGAGCGTTGACATCCCGACTACGATTTGCCAACCATCCGACGAAGTTCGCGCTACTAACAAATCGGCGGTAAAGGCCTGAATATTGATAGAAGAATTTATCACGATAAACTCAATGGACATTCAAAAATTACTAGTATATTGATATAACTTAAGATAGCAAAATGAAAAATAACATTTTAGTGTATCCTCATTAATTAGGCCAACCCAGTAATTGGTGAACATAACGGTGATGATATCTGTTGGCCACTGTCTGATTTGAAAACTGAATGAAACTCATTGCAATCGCCCCTTAGCATAGTAAACCTCAAAAATGAACTTTCTTACGCGAATGTAAATCAGTCAACTAAAAGTGCAAGTTGTTGATGGATTCTGAACAATTCTAATCGCATATGTCTTGTCCTATTATGTCCTAATCGCAATCGCAAACCAAGTGCAAGCAGTT